AATAGAGCTCGACGACTAATTCCTTCAATGCTGACCCATATCTTCCTAGAAAGATCTGCCCGAAACAAATGGAAGTCCTCAAATTCGTAGCCACCGACCTCTTCCACGAGCATCAATATCTCGCCATTTAGCTATTGTTGATAGTGAATGTGCTTATTTGTCATATGGCTGTAACTTGTTTCTACGTGTCACATGTAGAATGACTCTATTAGATGTGACTTATATCTGTTGTATATGGCTGTAACTTGTTTCTACGTGTCACATGTAGAATGACTCTATTAGATGTGACTTATATCTGTTGTATGTGATATTTGGGTGTTGCTTGTGATCACATGTAGAATGACTCTATTAGATGTGACTTATATCTGTTGTATGTGATATTTGGGTGTTGCTTGTGATATTTGTTATTTATACGTAACATTTGAGTGTTGTATGTGATATTTGGGTATTGTATGTGATATTTGTTATTTATACGTGACATTTGGGTGTTATATGTGATATTTGGGTATTGCTTGTGACATTTGTTGTTTATACGTGATATTTGGGTGTTGTATATGATATTTGGGTGTTGCTTGTGACATTTGTTGTTTATACGTGACATTTGGGTGTTGTTTATACTTGTATGCAACAAACTCCAATTATTTTGAAATACGTTAAGCAACACTTGAGGCAAAACCCATCTCTCTAAACTGCAATTTATAATTCTCAAAGAACAACCCGAAGTTGAATTTAAAAGGAGAAAAAGAACCAACAAATTGAGTACAAATCCTCTGTCCCGCTATCATCAACACCGCATAATTTTGCTAAATTAGTAGAATTAGGGCTGTACCTCTGAAATTAAAAATGTATAAAGAACTTTACTTTCAGATTCTATTTAATATGCTAAAGAAAAAAGGTCACCAAAAAATTACAAATGCATATTTTATCATTTACAAACAGCTAGTAAACATCCAACAACCAACAAATGAAACAGTTATATATGTTTGTCTAATACTTCCACTCAATCAATGGTACATCATTATCCGAAAGTACAAAAGATATTCTGAATCATCAATATCTAACTTCAATCACAACTACTTCCATTCACGACCTTCGCATATGATTTGAGCAGCAAGTCCTGCCCGTAATATCTCAGACTCTCTTTGAAAGGCTTCAATATTCATTGCCTCCCTTTCCTCTAGGATCATCTTGATGGAAAAAATATGCATGTATGCTACAATCATATCTGTAAAAATATCACATAACACTTAAACTGCAGCATATGTAACTGATAACGAGAATATATTACACATAATATAAAAATATCACATAACAGCAACATATGTCACACATAATACCAAAATATCACATAACAGCAGCACACGTCACAAAGCATACCATAATGTCAAATAACAGCAGCATATGTCACACATAATACCAAAATGTCACATAACAGCAACATATATCACACAGAATACCAAAATATCACATAATAGCAACATATGTCACACATAATACCAAAATATCACATAACAGCAGCATAAGTCACACAGAATACCAAAATATAACATAACAGGAGAATATATCACCCAAAATGTCACTATGTCACATGAAACCAACACGTGACATAAGCAAGTATCACGTGTATTAATAAATTGGTAAGTATAAGATATTTAGAGAAACTGACGAGCCTTTTTTGCGTTCGACAAGGAACTGCTTTATATTTGAATGCTCTGAATATCGACGCCTGGTCGTATCCACTCACCATCCTATCTAAAAATAGTTGGATGGTCAATATTCATTGCCTCCCTTCCTTCTAGGATCGCTTTGATGAAAAAATATGCATGTATGCCACAATCGTACCTAAATAGAAAAGAGGTAAAATCACACTGTAATGTATAAATATCAATATGCATGTATGCCACAATCGTACCTAAATAGAAAAGAGGTAAAATCACACTGTAATGTATAAATATAACATAACAGCAGTAAAGAATCCCTGAATCCTGATACTATTTCCAAAATCTCATACATCTTAATTTTTCACATATTATCTACTACACTGCATCTGCCTAAAACTGCCAAGACACTTCAATTCTTATCCCGTTTTAGAAAATAATATAGCAAACAAAGGATGATTTTAGAAAGTTCTGAATAATCAAGATAAAACACTGTATTTTAACGAAATACTTTGCATCAATTGAACGTCAAACAACATCTTAGGACAATTCAATAACCATGCTACATGCGCCATAGAACTATAAGTACATAATGCATAACATATCTTTTCTCCAATATTTATGGAAGAAGCGTATTCCAAGTTCATGATTTTTTTCTAAAGTCCAAACTAATACATGCGGCCAAATTTCTCATATTAATCAACTAAAAGCTAGTTCCTAGAAACTAAAATGATGGCTAAAGTAAATGATTCAGAATTTATCCAGTTTCAGCTACAAGACACTAAATAAGCATTACAACACAACGAGACAACAACTTTCTAGCAATCTCATGTAAATGCAATCCAGATCAAGAAACAAATAAAATAAAAGAAGGAATCAAAACAACCAACCTCAGATCAACCCAGCACCATCATCAGCACAATCTTTTCAACACTCCCCCAATTCTTTGAATTCTTCGTAACTTCATTCTGGACAAGTAACATATTAAGATAAACACCTTTAATTTTTCTCAAAAATAAAAACCCTAAGATTCAAGAAACTGAATTGAAACTACAGAAAACAGTGATCAAATCAATAAACCCTAAAGTTTTACATAGTTAGATTGATATCTGCTCGCCTCTGGCCGGCGAGTGATGCGAAACTTCCGACAAAACCAGAGAGCAAGCTAACGACGAAGCTTCCGGAGATCTCTTGTTCAAGATCTGACCTAGGGTTTGTAGAGGCTTGACGATGCCTTCAAGGATGAGGCGAGCGAGATTCGAGATGACGTCGCGTGTCTTATTGCCGCCGCCTCCTCCGGCAATGGGAGGCGAGGGGTTGTCGGAGATGATGCAGAGGGGAGGGGAGGGGGGGGGGGGAGAGGAGGGGAGGAGGCGGACGGAGCCGAGGAGGGGATCGGGGAGGAGGAGAGGATGCAGATGAGGAGGGAGGAGGAGGGGAGGGGAGGAAAGGGATTGAGTTTTAAATTGGGAAGAATGAGTAATTTAGGAATGAACTTCTTGGATAGTGGGTATCTATACTGTTTGGGGGTTGGTTGCATTTATATTTCAATTTAAGGGCTTGGGGGTTATGGTTTTGGGGCTAGGGAGAAGGATGCATGACCCAAATTTTTTTTAGTTCCTCTAAGTAATTTTCCCTAAAATATAATGTTATGTGTGCAGTAATCCAAATTATAGGCGATTAAAATTTAAACAAATATTTGATATTCAAACGAAACGAATATAGACTTGGTTAATTTATATTTGTTTATAGTTTCGAATACTACAATTTATTTGTTTATGTTCAATGAACTACCAAATCGAATTTAACTAAATATCTTCTCGAACAATTAACGAACTATTTGGTAATTATTTGTTTTTTTTCACCCTTGTGCTAACTAAGCGCGGTTTCTTACTAGATCTATTGGGGGGGGGGGGGGGATAAGGTAATGCCATGCTGTCGCAAACAGTGTTATTGAAAAACACAAAATAAATCAATGAACACTTCCCTTATAACTTTTCTAGCACATGAAGGAGAACATCATCTCTTACATAGATCATAATAGATCTCAAATAAAAATTAGATCCTAATGACTGGGGAAATATTCAACATAGCACATATATACAACCACACTCAAAATGGCTCTTAGCTATCAGTATGTTTGGATAGTTGAAAGCATAATCCAACATATCAAGCATCATTCACTCACAGTGATAACTGTAGGGTCGGAAAATTTATGATTAACTTCCTTGTTTTAAAAATGGATTCAATCGCTTAGTATGAATCCCTTACAATCACTCACTCTCGATTACATAGGAAAAGAAGATTAATTTGACTTCTCTTTTGTTTAAAAGTGGGTTCTTGGTGGCGAAATGATGTTTCTCTCGATGCTCAAGCCGAGATTGCTTCCCGTTGATGATCAGATCAAGATCACAAAAAGCTTCTGATGGTAGCTTAGATCACGAGAATGCAGACACTGATTTCTCTTCACATGATCGCCAAAAATCTTCCCAAAATCACTTCTTCATAGTCGCTCATTGCTATTTATAAAGTTTTAGCATATAACCAACGTGTTAAAGTTATAGGTAAAGGGCGTAATTGCCTCCTCTAATTCAGCCCACGTTGGTTAATGAGGCGTAACGTGCTCCTGAAACCTAGCCCACGTGGCTGACTAAGTCTTCAAATCTGTTACGGCTAGATCTTTTGTTCTACGGACGACGAGCCTTGCTGCATGGCGAGGTTCGTCAGATTGGACGAGCCTCAATATGCAGCGAGGTTCGTCTTATAAGGCCAGCTTTGCAGTATAGCGAGCTTCTTCTGGCGAATTTTATTTTCACTGACTTCGTCTGACGAGTTTTGTCTTCACTAACGAACTTCGCCTTCGATAGCTGAGTCCAATTGCGTAGCAAGTCTTGTGAATTTCCTTTTTACGAATCTCGTCTTCACTGACGAGCTTTAAGTCTGATGATAAGCTTTGTCTTCACTGACGAGCTTCACCTCCAATGATGAACTTCGAACCTCGTATCCAATGACGAGCTTCGTCTTTTGATGTCAAGTCTGCTGCGTGGCGGGCCTAGTCTTTGATTAAGACGAGGTTCGTCTCTATGACGACCTTCATCGTATTTCGAAGTTCGGCATTTTTTAATGCCTACAATGACAGTTGTCGCATAGCAAATAAAAATATATAACTATTGAACAAAGGAAAAACCTGCAATTGGACTTAACTGATCTTAATTGCATCTAGAGCATCATAATAAACACTTATTGCATAGCCAATGAAAGAAAATATTTGAAATTTAAAATTCATGCTGATCAAGTTTTAGAACATTCGACAAATTAGCATGAAAAACGTACACGAACAAATAAACAAATAAAAAGTTCCACAGTCTAACATTGTAATATGAAAACATCATTACAATGATGACCCTGGTAATCAAGAAGCATCTGTGCATTCTAATTTACAGCGTGAGAGTATCCCAATATATCAACAAGAAGTTCCTATAGCAGTCAATTAAGTGCTATATAAATAGCGCCAGCTATAAATATGCATAGTAGCTGATCTTTACATCCCAATAAAAATTGGAAAATACGTGAAATTCGAAAAAATAATAATAACAAATCTCTCATTCTTTCTGTATCCATTCGTGCTTGTAATCTTTTCCATCCATCCTTAGATTAAAATCCTTTTAAGATTGCCTTGAGGATTTCATAATCATATGATGCCTTTCTCCTTTAGTTCTTCTTGCCTAAAGCCAGGCTAATTCTCATACCGCGGCCTTCTAGCTCCTGCAAAATTCAGAAGGAAGAGATTATCATTAATGGCTTTATTTAGAGAAAAGACATAAATCTTAGATTTATTGATAGCAAACAAAAACTAATAGGCTAATTAGCACTTAAATACCTTACTGGTTTGCACTGTATATTCCCTCACTTGTTTTTAATAGCACTTATTTTAAATTAAATCCCTCTAGCCATTAGATCAAAACTCTGACAACACTTATTTAAATTATGTCCCTCTACCCAGTAGACCAAAACTCCGAAGTTATAGTGAGGTTAAGGATTATAGTTTTATATTAATTCTAACATGCCCCCGCAGGTTGAAGGTCCTTTTTATGAGCTGAAAATCTAGACTCACGAACCTGGGCTGCTCTGATGCCATCTTAAAGTCAGTCCTTTAACCATTACACCAAAAACTGTGAAGCTATGACAATGATCGAATATTATGTTTTTTATATTAGTTCTAACAACTTATACACCCTGAAGTTCTTTAAATTGCTGTTTGAATACCTTTCGTCATGGAGACATAAGAATATTGGCATTCACATGCTAATTCTAGAACTTTTTAACCTTTAATATCTGTTGAATGTACCACTAGCCTATCCCAATTGTATTTTAGAACAGAAGTTGGGTAGATTTAAAATAGAATTCGAGTAGGTTTAATAGTAAATTCAATAAATATTTAGGGTTAAAAAGTTCTATGATTAGCGTGTGAGTGTCATATGAAAATATTCAAGAGAAATTCTCACATTTGCATAACACAAGGTACTAAAGTGCGCCAAATTTAAAAGCTTCAAGGTACGGAAGTGTTGCCAATAAGAAGTAAGAGTACGTAAGTGCAAGGTAGGGGGAACTATAGCTAGAGGTATTTGAGTGCTAAGTACTCTAACTAATATTTACATAGACGATAACAATTCATCTTACTGCGCCATTGAGTGATTCGAGGGCAGCATCCATCTCTTGCTTCGACGAGTAACAAACAAAGCCATAACCACGAGAACGACCTGTATCCCCATCGTAAAGAACACGGGCACCAACCACGTTGCCATACTCTTGAAAAACTTCAGTTAAACTCTCAGACGTCACTGACCAAGATAAATTACCTACGAAAAGTTTGTAGTCGCTCTCAGGGTATAAGGGTTCTTTAGGTTTCGGCTTGTCTGAGAAATTCACCCTCAATGTTCGACCTCCATATTGCTACAAGGGGTAAAGAGAGAAAATTTTATTATTAGGAATTTGAATGTTTTGAATTGAATATGATTATAGAGAGTCTTACACTCCCATCAAGGTTTTGGATTACTGCTTCACAGTCTTCGACGGAGCTCATTGTTACGAAAGCAAAGCCTCTGCTCCTTCCAGTGTCTCTGTCATAAAGCACCTGAAATTATGCATTCAAGAAAAGATGAGATTAACAAAATCCCCACTAGTTGATTTGTGAATGTGTTTTATGTGTATTGAAAATGTTTACTGATTTCGCCCATATATTAGATGCATATTTACTAAGTCTACTACTTAAGTGCAACACTTTTTTTCCCTGAGAAAAAAACTTATGTGAAACACATTACTGATATAGATATCAGATAAAGGAAGAATTAGGGTGTTGCATCTTTCATATTGCAATGTTAGTTTCTTTTTAAGAGAAAGGTGTTTCTGTAGATTTCAGTTTTGCATAATGTTCAGAACTGTGGTCAGTAAGAGCGTTTATAGTTTATAAACGAGGATGATAATTTATTTTTCAGAACATATCCATATAATATATAGGAGAAAATAGAACAACGTGACAATTTATACGACAAAATGTGATAGTAGTGGTGCTGATGCCTATACTAATACCAACGACCAAAAGTACCGGATATCATCAAAGTGGTAACAGTTAACAAGCTGTCGACACGAACAAAATCAGTAGATCTCTATATTATCCAAATTCTGTACTCAGTAATACTGAAAAATTAGTGATGTGTGAGTGTGTGTGTTTCTTTTCTTTTCAATTTTTTTTTTTCTGATATAAGGTATATCCACAGATATCAGTGCTGCATAGTATTTGATACTTTCAGAGCTGAACAGCATGAGCATTAACACGTGATAAATGCATTTCCGGGAAAATGCCATATCCATATGGGAAGAAAACATATAATTAACGAACGTGACGATTCAAGCGCTAATACGCTAGTAGCAAGCAGCATTTATGGCTTTGAGTACTAATACTGATGACCAGAAAAGCCAGATGTCATCGAAGCATATGACAAGGTACTAACTACTATTACCATGATATTACTGATTATAATTGCATGGGTGACCCTGCTGGATTGTTCAGAATATCGAAATGTAATTATGAATGATACTAGAGCAGACCGCAAGATATTAACACGCGCAAATTAATAGAGTAAATCCTGGTAATACTTCTAACGCACCTCAACCATCTCTGGACTGGCATACTCCTGGATAATCCCAGCCAACTGCGCACTGTCACAATTGTATGGCAGATTCCCAAAGTAAAGCTTGGTACTCTGAACGATGACAGGCTCTGCAACTTCTTCCACTTCCTGATGATCTCCTTCTCCTTCTCCTTCTCCTTCACCTTCCTCTTCAGCAGCCGCCGTGGCGTCCTCCTGCGCAACCTCCTCCTGCGCGACCGCTGCAGTGATCTTCAGCAGCCTCCTCTTGCTCACCATGGCAGTCAATGATAGTTGCTCAGTGATGTTACTTACAGCTGGCATTGCGGTAGTTGGCCGGAAGTATGCAGGCTTGGAGCGAAGCGAGTTGGCGCGTGGTCGAGAAACACGATGAGTTTATGGCCGGAGAGGCGGCGGCGAGCCATGTTGTAGAGCTTATGAGCGATGAAGGTGGGGGGAGAGGGAGAGAGAGGTGAGGGAGGGAGATGTTGGAGGTTAAAATTAAGAGGATGGGGTGAGTGATAGCTAGGATGACGTGGAGGTTCGTGTGCCATTGATGGAGATATGGAAGGGGATAAGGCGAACTTTCTAGCTTTGGATAAAATGGATACGGGGTTATTCCATACGTTGGTTTGATGAAGATGATCAGGTTCAAATAATTGGTCACGTAATACTAATTTTAAGACAGTTCTATATCAAATGTTCTTTATAATTCACGTGTAAAATAGTAGTGCGAAAAATAGAATGTCTTTTATCTATTAATCTGCTACAGTTTGTTAAAAGAAGGTAGCATTTTGATCATTTGAGTTGCACTTTTACGAATATTTTTGAAAGTGCACACAGATTTTGAGCGTCCAAGCGGAGTCCGATTCCAATCGAGGGATCTGAATATAATTTTCCAACCAAACAAATTTTGCACTATTCTCTCTCTCACCTCACAAAACCCTAAACCCCAAAAAAATCGACGATGATGCCAAGCCCGATGCCTCTCCTCACTCTCTGCAGACCCTAGCCCGCCGTCCTATGCTACTACTCCGCCACGCCGACTGCGCACCCGCATCCGCCGACTCCTCCGGCGGAGTCTCCCTCTACCTCCGCCGCGCCGCCCTCATCAACGCCCTCCGCCTCCGGCCTCCACGTCCACGACCCCTCGAAAAACGCCCTCGCGCCTCCTCAGTCCCCTCTCCTCGACTCCGTCGTCGCCGTCCAAGTCATCCGATCTCTGACCTCCGTCGACCTCGCCGTCGCCTTCTTCAGATCCCTCCCCTTTCCCACCCCTCAGTCTCCAAACCCTAGCAAAGCGCCTCTCCTTATCGAAGCCGCATCGATGACCTCAAAACGCCCTCCTCGAGTCCCTCCACGGCGCGGCGTTTCCCCTATGGATCGCCTGCCGCTACCTCGCCGCCGCGCGGATCTCGCCGCGCACTCCGAGATCTGGACCGAGATCATGTCCGCGCGCCGCCGCCGCCAACCGCCACGCTTGCACTGAAGCATACATCTCATCATCAATCTCCACGGCGTCCATGAGATTGGATTCGGCGGCGGTGGAGACTTTTCTGGGATGATCGCGCGATGGAGCGAACCCTAACTCGAGGACTTACACGGTGATCATCGAATCATTTGGTTAGGTCGGGAATCTTGAACCGGCGGTGAGAGATTTTCAGGATGTTGCCGATGATGAGGACCCGGCGAACTTCGAAGCAGTATAACGTTCTCGCTGAAGCTTTATCGGCATTGGATCGGTTCGATGAGCTTGATTCATTGGTTAAAGAGATGAAATCTGATGGGATTCTCGCTGGTCGAACGATGCGTGAATCCATCGCGAAGCTTAGATCCGCCGGTTTCGTCGAATCCACTGACGAATACGTCGATGAATTGGCTCCGAATGCAAAGATTGGGTGTGTCGTTGATGAATCCGATGAAGAAACCGATGATGATGATGATGAAGCGGGGGATGAGATTACCGTGAGTGACCGGATCCGGTTAAAACCATGGTTGGATCCGATATCACTAACTCGAGCCCTTAACGGGTGGGACCCGTCAGAGGTGAAGGCGCTCGAATCGGCCGGATTCGTCTGGACGCCGCGCTTGGTATGCAAAATCCTCCGGTCATTCAGAAAACCCGAACCCGCATGGGAGTTCTTCTGTTGGGTCTCGTACCAACCGGGTGACTTCACCCACAACCCGCAAACCGTATCCAGAATGATCGCCACCCTTGCCCGATCGGGTCATGTCGAGTTAATCGAGAGACTGCTCTCTAAATTAAAATCCGAACAAATCTTGCTCCCGTTCGCTACTATTAGGTTAGCTATCGACTTCTACGGGTTATCGAAGAAACCCGAACCCGCCATCAAACTCTACCGCAGTGCGGAGTCAATTTGCGGCCCGTTAACCCAAACGAACCGGGTGTTACTGTGTTCTTCCTTGCTACGAACCGTTGTCAAGTGTAGGAGGAAGTACGAGGCAATGGAGTTGCTAGAGGAGATGATGGGTGATGGGGTCTTATTGGATATCCAAACGTTCTCGGGTTTGATGCAGTTTTTTGCCGAGGAGGGAGATTTGAAGAGTGTGCACAAGTTATTTGGGCTTGTGAGGCAATGTGGGCTCGAGCCCGATGGGTACATGTACCGTGTTTTGATCCGGGCTTATTGTAAGAATGAGCGAGCCGTGCTGGGCTTGAGAGTGTTTGAGGAGATGAGGAGTTTGGGCTTAGTTCTTGACCGGGGGACGAAGGGGTTGCTTGTGAAGAGCTTGTGGAAGGAGGGGAAACTACGGGAGGCGGCCGCGGTGGAGGAGAGGTTCGAGGGGTTGGGGGAGAGGATTCCAACGGTTTTGCCGGGGCATGTTTGGACGGTGAGCGAGGCAGATTTCCGGAGGGTTTGTGATATTTATTCCGGTTGTTTTAAGAGAGGGGAGAGTTGAAATTGGAAAATTGAGAGATTGCTTGTGTATATCGTGGTCCAAAAGCGGTCTATCTGATATCAATGCAAAGCAAGGTAATTTCTTGAAGCATTAGTTGTATCACAGTATTATACAGTAAATAGTTTTTCTGCTTGAATATTTCATTGAAATTATAACGCAACATTGTCCTAAATTCTGGACATTTACTATATAAGAATGTTGAGCAGACGAAACTAGTGTCTCTCTCCACGGCCTCAACTGGTGCGCTGCTGTGAGATGACTACAGGCTGAATCATCATCATGTCCAGATCATAATCTGGACGGACATGTGTCATGTCAGCAACAGACTAATAAAACTATGGAGCAGAAATAATGCTTCCGTTTGCTCATCTTCATCACTATCTAATAGCTAGTTTTCCCTTGTCAAGAATTTATTAAAATTATATGCTAAGTAGTAGTTTTTAAAAAGCATGCATAAGTACTGCATAATAGTTGTATTGAGATGATATGATAAAGTAAGCATTGGCTTTAAATTATTGCAATTTATTGAATGGTATTTTTCCACAGTACATAAGGGCAATTCTGTCTTTAACGCTCACAACTAGACTACCAGTCCCTTATCCTTCCCGCTAAATTCCCACCACAAACCCCAAATCCCTAGGCACCCAACCCCATGGCCTCCTCTTCTTCCCTCCTCCCCTCCCTCTCCCTCCGTTTGGGTTGAGGAAGAAGCTGAAGAAGGTGGAGGAGGAGGCGGAGGCGATCGTGAAGGAGGGCGAGGAGGTTGTCGAGAAGGAGATTCAAGTGGCGGAGAAGGGGATCGAGGCGGTGGAGGAGAAGATCGCCACCGGTGAGCTAGGGTTTGGTGCTGGGGGGGTTGTGCAGGCCGGAGTGGTGGCAGGAGCGGAGGCGGTCGGGGTTTTGGTCGGGGTTTCGGTCGTTAATGGGATTCTTGGTCCTGAGGGAAAGAACCCCTGATTTCCCCCCCTTTTGCAGTCATTTTTCCATCTCTTTTTAAAGTTTGATGTATTTAATGGAAGTTTAAATCTGTAGAATTTAAGATTGTTTACTTATTTAATTGCTATGTTTTGCATCTGGTGCCTTCTATTCTTTGCAGTGAGAAAGCAATGCAATTTGCCTTTAAGATGATGGAATAGTTGCGGGGGAAAAGGAAAATGCTGGTTACATTTTCTTCTTCTTCTTCTTCCTCTTCTGTGTTCTCTTTCCGTTGTATTTCCAGTGGATGTTCAGCTGCTATACCGTACTTATTGCATACTTACATTGACTTTCGGTTTGCATTTTAGGGTCTGTTTGGTTGTTTTCCGAAAAAATCGGAAATGGAGAACTCAGTTTTTAAATGATTTCAATAGCTTTCATGACATGTCCCACTTTTTTTTTTTTGTTTCGCAAAGAAATCATCCCATTTCACCGCCAAAAAAAGTCACACAAATAACAAAAAACGCTGCAATAGTAACAATGCTTTTAGTTTTCCATTTCTTGTGTTTGTTTGAAAAAAAAAAGGAAGAAAAATCAGCCGCAATAGTAACAGTGTTTTCAGTATTTAAATAATATGTTTTATTCACATGGACTGTTTCAACAGTGCTTTTAATAATTTAAAATTCATAGAAGTGATATTTCCATGTGTTTTCAGAGGTTAACACATTTCTTAAAAATTTAACGTGACATCCTACATGACACCTTTATTTTTTTTAAATCACAAAACGAAACAAACATGTGATTTGAAAATCGGTTGAAACCAAAATCCTACGTGACGGGGGGATTTCTTGAAAGGTGACATGGCAGGGGTTTTTATCAATTTTTTTTTTTGGCAAACAAACAGACCCTTATGGGAGATCAGAGGCATGCTATTTTAATTTTTCTTAATTGGATCAAGAAGCAATGCCAACTATTAATGTCTGCAGGGCAAGCAATTCTCCGAAATTGTGACTGGAAGTCTGGAATTGTAACTTATAAATGGAGGGATTTTGAGTTGTCTACTGTCACCGAGGAATGTTCGGTTGCTTTCTGCAATTTTTTGTCAATTCCCTCTTTTGTGGTATCAAAATACTTGCAAAGAAGAGAGTACTTTTTGCTATAATTAACTGAGATGAATGCGTTTGTTACTGAGAGTTAGCCGATGTTTCATGAGACCCGCCTCTTGTCTGAGATCTGTTGTGAGCTGCACTGCGCAATTTTCTCAACGTGCATCTAGTCATTGCTTTGCTTCCCCAGTTTAGCAGGGGTGATAGCAGAAAATTGATAATGATGACGCAAGTATGTCGACATTCTGTCGACGTCAATCAAAACAGCTTATTTCAAGGGTAGCAATGCAATTTAAAAAAAAAAAAAATAGAAAAACAAAATCCATTCTAATGCAGAGCAAGTTCTCCCACCTGCTTTGCCCTGGCTTTCCTCTGAATCCTGGGGTCTTCGACGATGCTCGCCTCCTTCGTTAGCTGCCTCGTCAAATTTCTCAAGGTTCAAAGGGAAGGAGGGGTCTCGATACGAGCCTTTCGATGCACGTGATATCTTTTGAGTTACTTTGGGTCTCCTCGGACCACCTCTTGCGACGAGTAACTCGTATTTCTTGGTAATTACTGGGTGAAATATGAATTGCTCGTGCTGCTGAAACAGTAAACAGGGGATGCCGGAAGTCGTTGGGTTTCATATTTTAATCCGTGGACGCTATGGGCCAGGAAGCAATACCAATCAAGGATGCGTATACATGGCCCAATGACAGGCCATGGGCAGCCCATGTGGCCCAGCAACCGGTAACATCACCGCGGTCTTCTTGACTTCAAGGGTTTCGCTCCGCAGCAGATACCCGAGCGGTAACCAGAACTCACTAATATCGATCTCATTGCGTTTATACGATCCAGCAAAAAGATAAGAGAAGAGAGAGAGAGAGAGAGAGAGAGTGTGTGTGTTCGCTGTTCTCTCCCTATTTCTTGTTCTCCCCTCTCATCACCATCGTCATCAATGGCGACTCAGGGTCAAGTCATCACTTGCAAAGGTCAGTACACCGAAGCTTTGATCTCGTCGATCCTCCGTTGATCTCGATTTTGATCGTCATTTCCCTTCTTTTTCTGAAGCTGCCGTTGCTTGGGAGGCG